TCACAGACCTTTGTGTAAACAAAGAACTGCGTGTAGCCAACGCTAACTCTTTAGCAGCCATACAGGCATATGAGCTAAGCCCTTTACCTCAACTGTTAGCTGTTAGCATCCGACTAACACTTAGATAGGTGTGAGTGTAAAATGTAACTTTCAAACAACTCCTCTCTCTCTCTCTCTCACTCTCGCTCTCCCCCTCACTCCCGGTTTCACTTCCTGTTTGTGCTATCACCTTCTCTTTAGATTCAATTAGGTCGGTCCCTCCCCACATACTTTGGTTTTATTTGTGTTATTTTTATTATGACTTTATTCTGCCTCTCTTTGATTTGATTTCATTAATTTACCTTTGATTAGCTTGAATGTACCAATTCAGCTAAGTTGATTTTAATTAAATCTGAGATTTAATTAAATCAGTTTATTTATTTTTCCTTGTAGTTTCCTACAGCTATTAAAACCTTTTCGTTTTACTTTTACCTTATTTTAGTTTGTTTGACCATCACTATCTTCCTTCTCAATATAGGATTATAGCAGTTCTAGCAACTGTTGTTTCCTTAATGAGTTATACAGGTTATTAGTAGCCCTAATTCCTGTCTCTGCTATATCCCTCCTTACTTGTCAGCACAAGGCCTATTACATAAGGTACAGTTACCATTCATTATGCTATAGGCCCTGAGAAGACTAGAAACACTTCCTGTTGTTTCTGTTTATATACCTTGAGGTGTTTGATGTGTCCCTGTTAGCTTAGCTAACAGTCTCTCTAGGTTTATGACCCTGCTGCAGCATTCCTTTGAACAAGTGACACCTGCTTAGTCATATCTCCTAGCTTCAACTAAATAAGGAAAGCCCTTCCTTCTCCCTCTGTCTCTTTCTGATTTTATTTCAGTTTTGTTTTATCTGATACCTTCATAGTGACTAAACCTGTGAACCATCAGTGCTTTGAGTAATAGTTTGACCACATGTATAGCCCGGTCATTAGCTGACCCCTGCTTACAGCCCCATCAACAAAGTTACTCAAACTCTCTCTTTGT